GGTTTAAAAGGAATGGAAAGGGAGACTTCTCAAAACCTGCTGTGCTTTAGCAAACACGATAACTTTATCAATGAGGGTCCTACCAGACTTCGAGATCACGGAAACATACCGTTCCTCCTGCTATTTTTTGACTAATCCCCCATACAAAACCAAGAAATTTCCACTGCTACCAGCCGCAGGATAAAACGAAATGGACTGAGGGAACGATTCACTTAGCACACTTGAAAATGTCGCATCTCGCCAAAGAGTAACCGATGATGACAAGCGCAAACACAACATGGCGCTAACATCCGGAGGTAAGACATGCTCGTCAGAATATTCACTATAAAGCGCAACCCACCGCACTACCTGCCTCCCCAGCCATTAGATGACTCTTTTTATTACGTCACCCCTCAAAGCAACCTTCTAGTGAGTAGTTGTTGCTCCTCATTTTCTAAGTCCCTCCCAGCCCTTCATACAAATTGGCTTGCTTGTAAAGTTGCCATATAAAACGAGTAAGCATAACAGAAGATACACATTTTTAACGCGACTGAGCAGAATATGCAAAGTCATCCGCTGTTAAAACTAATCTATTGATAACTTATGTCCTCTTTTGAGTTTTCGGCAATGACAAACCAGAAACCAAACATGTAACTTCGAACTTTAACAAGCCAAGAAATAAAGTGTGATGAAAGTGTGAAAAAAATTTCAACAAACAAATAAAAAATATCAAATCACAAGAAACTAAAAGTGCAGCCACAACAACAAAAATAAATTATTAAAAATATTTTTTTATAAAGGACTCTGGTGAAACAGAGCATTGACATTTATAACAAATTTGGTTCCATTTCTTATGAAATCAAGGATCTGGAGAAAATACCAGAGCTCCGTTTCTAATTTGAAAAAAATAAAGACCTGAAGGACAATAGGTGGGAACAATAATATGGAACAAACAATACTGGCACGTGACAAAACTATTCATAATCCGAAGTACAAAATATGAATAGATGAATCACAGTTCCAAAGCGTCAGGCGGGACTATGTGCGCCTACAACCCCATCCTGAAAACATCCAACCACAAAAAACGTTCTCAGTAACCAAATGCGGTAAGATGCTGAACTCGCACGCGGAAGCCCTACAGACGGATATGAAGCTGAAAAGAGACCGAATTAGTCTGTGGAAAATGGCTTAAAAGAGAAGTCCAAAGATGAAGACCAAAGAATCAAGTTCTGATTTGGTTCACCAGTATCCAGTATTCTAGGAACGAGCAGGTTTGCTAGTAACAAACTTCACACAGTGAACCTGACAAAATGCAGTGCTGTCGAAGACGGATTCAGTACCTAAAGAAAACCCCACAATTTTCAGTACACCTCAACCTTTTCGCAGCTTCTTCTTCACCGAAAATCCGTACCGGTCAACTATAACGGAAGAATTTCGACTCGTGTTTCCTTACGGAAAAATGATTCGCTAATGGTGGAAAAAAATAAACGACTGAGGGGTGATCAAAGTTGCAATGAATTACCATTATAGTCTGCAGAGTACTAAACCGTGAGATCTTCATTTACAAGGTTTACTAACTTTTCAATAGACTTTCAAAAGAAAATGATATTGTCAGTTTGTCGAACAATTCATGACAAATGAATCAGCTAAAACCATACCGAAAAAGAAATAATCACAAGCGCGGCCGGCTGACTACGTGTTTGACTGCAGAGCCTAAAAGAGAAATAATATTACACCTAATACAGGTTGAGACCACGTCTAATTAACACCAAATGAGATGAGTACCAATAGATGAAAAGGAACTGAAACTGCAGTTACAACTAAAACAAATACAGCACCTACAGGATGTATCCGCGTTTTGACGACAAAAAACTGAATCAATTTTCCTCGGTTTATTCAGAGATTGAAATGAGAGAAACCCACTAGTTCCACCTAGCCTAATGTAAATGCTCACAAACACACTTCAAAAGTAGGTGATGCGGTACAAAGCTACGAGTAACCAGGTGAGGAGGTAAATAAGAATAAGCTGACCAAAAGAACTCAAGAAAAGCAATGGTTGTAGAAGAACTCCTACAACCACATCCCACAACAATACTTGCATAAGCTTTGCTGTCAAGAGGAAATGAAGCTGCTATTTGGAAAACAGACAGTATTTCAATAAGATTTTCGATAGAGACATTGAAAGCTGTATCAGGATTCAGGTAAATTTCAGCAGACCCTATTACATGAAGTCCTGAATCACGGCTAAATATCTGTTGGAAGGACGTAAACAACATTCAGAAAAAGCCTTATTTGCAATCGGAGCAAACCAAATCTTAGCAGTTAGTTACTCAAAAAAGCCAAAGACTCTCGAGCAACCATGAAAACCGAATGATTACAGTACATTTAAATACAAAAGTAACATGCAGGAAATCAGAGGGATGAAGAAGCATAAAAAAGTATAAATTCTAACCAAAAAACCAAAGCGAAATAAAGAAAATAACCGAAAAGCAATTCAAAAAAAATTAAAGGAAGCACGGATACTATTAGAAATACAGCGAGACACAATGTGGACTACTTAAACTATAACCCAATCTTCCTCACTAGAAGGCACTGAGTTCAGTGTCGACTCTTCAGAAATTTCGTTTATCGGTAAAGATTTCGGTTGGCTGCTTTTATCGAGGCGATTACTCTTAAAAAGAGCATTGAAGCTCTCAATTTTCCGTTCAGATAAAACTGGTTTCCTTTTTTGTTTCGAATCCTGCTGCTTTTTAAATCTGTTATCCAACTGCAACAATTTTGAGAAGAAATTCGCATAAAAAGACGAGGAAATTATAGGAAAGAAAATGGTTTAAGAAAAAAATCCAAAACTGTTAGAAAAAAACACTTAAACTCTTGTTAGAACATAAACTCACCCTGAAAGAAACAGCGCTGTGAACAGTATCACTCAAAACCAACGTCATATATGTAAGCTAAACGAATAAAACATGCAAAAAATATAAATATAACAATTAAAAAGACAGCTGACGATTTTGAAACCATGGATTGAAAGAACATTACGTGTTTTATCCATAAGAGCAAAAGTTATTAAAAAATATTACATCAAACCTTAGTAAAAACTCACATAGCTCTTGAGACTCAGTCACCAACTCTTCCAGTAATAACCCCAATATGATGGCAAACAAGCAAAAAGTCTGGTAATGACTTCACATTCCTGCGAAACGTGCCAGAAAAACTTGCAGAAAATGCAGTAACAATAAACACAGAAAAAAAGACACTTTCTTGAGAAAAATAATACGTGTGGCTGAGATTAAAATATATAACTGCATAAAATTTGACGAGAACAAAAAACGATAAAGAAACACTAAATAAACAGAAGACTGACAAAAACACGAAATTAAAGAAACGACTCGACATTCAGTGATGCAACAAGGACTCGAAAGGACTATTACTATAGATTTAATAAGATTTAGAAGCATGCATAACATTCTTCTCATAACAAGCTTTTCTGAAGAAAGGCCTTACGCTCAGTAAACTTACGACGGTAATAACAGTCTAACATAGACTCACTGTTTTTAAAAACTACACGCCTCCAACAAAATCTTTCTACCCAGTTAACACACGACATACCAGAATCGTTAAACTGACTTACCTGGGAGAGTTTAGATTTCAGTGCTGCAATTTCTTCCTCATGACTCTTTTTTTTCGCAGCGGCCTCCCGTTCAATGAGGTCTATGTTTGACGACTGAAAAATACTAGTTGATTTCGAAACGAATTTGGTCATTTACAATCTAAATAAGCAGTTCTAAAAAAAGTCGACTCTAATGTTTTAGGTCATTAGTAAAAAGTAGATAAAACAGTGCTACTGCTTTTTCAGGCAAGATAAGTAGAAATCTGGAAACAAAAGAACACTAAATCAACCTAAAATAAATAATTCAGTCAATAAAGAGTATCGACAACTAACGTTGTCTTCGTATACAAAGTCAAAAAAATCAAGAACTAATCCTGCATCACAAAATAGATCATTTTTTGTGTAGGAGTTTACTTCAATCCAATTTTGAAAAGATGATGTCACACGAAGGCTACCGAACTACAAAAATGAGTGTAAAGGCTAGTTCTCAAAAGGATACATTGGAATATAACTAAAATATGACACCGTCAGGAATTACAACCCACCAGCGTCTTCAGTGCTGCACGGTACTTCTTGACCTGTACTTCCAAATTCTTCACTTGTTCATCCCCATCCCCAATGTTCATCGCTTGCACAAAAAGCTAAAAACGAATTTACTATAGAAAAAGTGTATGAGAGTTGTTTCATAGACAAACCAATCGTTCTCTAAGTAAAGCAACACCCAGAGCGGTAAAAGAAAGTACACGCACGTTTTCGCTTTTCGGGATACGACAAGCAGCCTCGTCGTTTTTCTTTAACAGATCTCTTGTCTTCTGGAACCAAGCTGTAACAGTATCACTTTCGTAAGTTTCGGGAATTGAAGGAAGCGATTGAAGTTGCGGGAACTTCTCATGCAAGAGTTTTACAGTCTCTGTCATATACTCCGCAATTATTTTTTTATACCTCTCCTGAAACAAAAGAATAAAACGGAAGCTGCTTCAATACCATACGTTTTTTTGAGGGCATAGCAAAGTTTGAAAAGCAAGAAATGATTATAGTTAATACACTCATTACCTCATTGTCCTTCATCTTCTTCAGTAAATTCTGTTCTTGTTTTTTTGAAACCTCAACCACCTGATAATTAGAAGCGCGTAATTCCTGAAATCAGAAGCCCCGTTCTTCCAAATCTTAAATAAAAAATAAAATGTACGGCTCGTAACAAAAGTTACCTCATTCTTCACCTCTTGTTTCAACAGCTTCTCTTTTAGTTCCTGGAGTATTTCAGCAGTAGAGCCACCAGAATTTGCACAATGATCTTCATTAACTTTCATCACCTTAAATGGGTAGTTACTTTTTACATGTAATATAAGAAGTCAAAACAGTATTCAAACAATATCTTATATCAAGTTGCTAAGTTTCTCAAAGACCATGACATTTTAAAGACTATTGTTATCTTGATTGTGATGATTTTGTTTACTTGGTTCTTTCCAGTTTCTCATTACCTTTCTAGCAAGCGTAAATCTCTCATCTCTCTGTTGCACTATCTTGTTTCTTCGGTGTATGCTAGAGCAGTACATTACTACGACAATAATGAGAAGCAAATACAGCAAAGCATTGTAACAATCAGATACTACAGAAAATATTAAAGAACAAATAAAAGAAATAAACCTTCAATTCCGGTTCAACAGTTTGCTTCGTTCCATTCTCCAAGTTATCCATCTGCTGCTCGAGGACTCTAAAAACACCAAAACATCGAAAATTATACTCCTATTCTAGAAATCTCAATTCATCTTTGTTTTTAAACTTTCTCCTGGTTTTATACATCTGAACTCAAAAGCTTGGAAAAGCTCAGATGTATTCATCACAGAACACAGCAAAATCACAATAACTTCCCATTAACCCACTCAAAGAACTATTCTTCTGTAAAAACAAATAAAAATAATCTGCAAGACAAAAAATGGATTAATCTTTTTACAGTCAACCTTAAATAATTGTTCACGCCCAAAACACTAAATGATGGAATCTGTTAAAACGAACGTTTATTTAGGAAGCAGCTGTGCGCAACTCACTACTTTCTTCGAGTATTACGCAGGAAAAACCTCACAACTTTTGATGACATTAAGCTGCTAAAAGCCAAACTGGATTGTTGACTCCACTAAATCAGTCTAAGAATGGAACCGCCATTAACACCGTGTACATAAAAAAAACCATTTTTTTTTTTAAATTTCGGTCGCTAACAAATCACTTTATCTCCAACAGTCTTGATCTACTAGGCCAACCAAAAATGACTCGTTAAGCTAACGAAAAGTTCGTAATCACCACCACTTCTATTAAATCAACGACAGTAGATGTTGAGCATCAACTACAAAGGCAAACGTTAAGCAATTTCAATGCAAGCTTCAGCTAAACCAGATCCGCACACAAAACGAATAAACTAACGAAGTTTTGTGTCAACTGAGATACGTTCCACCTCAGCCTTAAACATGCAAATGTGCAAGCACCAAAACGCATTAATTTCATTTAATCATAACAAACTCTCTAAACAACTGCCACACTTGACACTTCTATCTTATGACAACTTTGGGTGACGGCATGATAATTAAGGCCACAGCAATTTTTTTCGGCTCAGTAAAAAAGAATTGCACATAGGGATAACAAGAAATCAGGAATCAATGCTATTCATGAATGAAAGAGCTGGTGGGAGCAGATGAAATGCGGCACACCATTGGTCTAAACCTCTTAAATAAATCTGACATAACCGGGAAGAATACGTGAATTAAAGCTAAAACTGCGCTAGAGCGCCACAGCACAGAACATGGTAAATTTTTTTTGTCTAAGACAATCGATATTAGAAGGAATTTACAGCTTTTCAAAAAAAACTTTCTTTTTTTCTTTCAAAACGTGTTTACCCTACACTCGCAGATGTGAAAACTCACGTCAAAGACAAGTGCAAAATGCATATTATCATCACAGAAAGCAAAACTGCTAGAATAACAATAAATAACAACCTGTAACAATTATAAATTTGAACTTCAACCATACAGACAATACGAACAAGGGGAATGACGATGCTTACAATACGACTTAAGGAAGTCAAATGAATAAATAGACATTATAAAGATCCCTACAAATTGCAGTAAAAATTGACAAATAGTCTTCTTCTCTTTTCCACAGTGTGCAATGTGAACTGTAGAATTTCACTTATGACTGAACGCCAAAGAACTTTTCAAACAAAAATTATATTATTTTCGTTACCATCTTCTGTCAATTTTTGATATCGATCCGAGCAACGCCAAACTCCATCAACTATGAACTTAAACTTGTAAGGCTGTACCCCGCATCCGTTGGTTGTTCCGTTCTCCGCACCGTTCAAAAGCTTAGCTTCTTGGTTAATGGATTCGCCGAATAAGTCAACTGTCAAGATGAAACCACGTTCAGAACGTTTCATCGCTTTCTTTTCTTTCCAGCCCCAAAAGCTACCAGTAATGAAGACTTCATTCGGTACTCTTGCTTCTGGATTATCAACGTCCCACATTATTTCAACAGAATGAAATTGCTCTTGTTTTGTCAAACGCTGCTCTACTTCCTTTTTACTTCCAGAGTCTCCAGTCAAAGGCTTGAAAATTGGGGAAGAATCAGGTTCAGGAGCAAGTTCAAGCTTACCATTCAAAACTGCATCTCCATTTATGGATATAATAGAATTTGCGCAGTGCGCGCATCTGCAATACAAGACCTGATAATATAAAACAGTGGTTATTCTCAAAGAATCTAATACTTGCTTTTTCTAGACAAATTTTTTAGTAAAGAAGACCTTAACTTTTGATATTTCTGAATGAAAAAATGAATTAATTACAAAGGTAGGAGAAATGCAAAATATGAGAGAACAATTATGAGCATCCGTTTCGTGGTTTAGAGGCACCATTAATTTGATGCTCAATAAACCCCAAAAATTACTTCAAAACTTCCTGTTTTGCAAAATACCTTTGCTATCTTAACTTTTTATTTAAATAGATAGCAGCTAATTCTAGAAAGCCTCAAACCGTATACCCAGAAACAGAATGCTTTACATAAAAAGAAGCGTTAGTATTACAATGTATTATATTAGTACAAAGTCTTCAACAATCTGCTGATATAATAATGACACCCTTCAGACAGGTTCAGCAGTAATTAAAAAGTGATTTCAGGACAGGTTTCCAAAAACAATACCTCTCAGTAGAGAATCTAAACTTCCGTTGTTTCCAGAGAAATAACAGTGGCTTCAAAAACTTCAGGTTCATCGTCCCACCACAATTACCAAAAATAAACTCACTGTCCCCAACATCAGAGACGCTTAAATTATGAAGAAACAACATAATTTTCCTTAAAATTAGGAGAACTGCTGAGAAGTTTCACAGCTGAAGAGCCGCTGAGGTTAAAAAGCCCATTCCGAAAAAAAAAGAAACATCTGATCTAAAAGAAACAGCCAAAAAAAGGTAAAAACGAATCAAAAAAAAAAAAAAAAAATGCACGGCTAAATAGCCTAAAATAAGACAGCCATGCAGTAGGCCAGCTTTAAAAAAAACGACACTGTGCTAGCCAATTGACGTCGCGAGCAACCAGGAAAAATATACAAAATAAAGAAAAAAGAGACGATAATAAAGAACTTAACATCCACACACAGTGTATCAGAACATCTTAAATACCTTAACCAAAGGCAAAACGTGCGAGCTAGAGGCTATTCGAAAGCGTAGTTTCCTAAGAGTCGGTATCAAAATCAGAAAGCCACAACTTCAGATTTCAAACTATATACCTCGAAAAAGCTTCGTAAAAGCCGTTAGTAGTAAGGTAACAAAAAAGTGAAAAGATTTATATCAATACAGGCATATATATATGTATGTACATATTCCACGCCAAATCGCACAAGGTTGCACCTCAACCTCTCGAATTTTTTTTCCTTTTTTGCCACCTTGTAGCACTTGATCCCGAATTTTAAAATCGAAAGAGTATACCTCAAAAAGTGCGCTAGCGGCAAAGTTCAACCGTTCTAAAGTGCGATAAAATATGAGATCACACTCGAAATAGTCACATTTAGGAACTTGTATTTTTCTTCATTCGCAATAGAATTTTCTGATCTTAATTCTTTTGAAAACTTGTAGCTTGTCTCCTGCAGATTCTAAAGAATAGTAAAACGAGTATATTGGCAAATTTTATTCTAAAGTAAAATAAAAACAAAAATTCAAAACGGTTTTTCTCAAAAACGTCCATTTTAAATTTTTTAAAAAAGACACACTTTTTACACAACATACGAAAATCATAAGGTGGTATCTTTTTGGCATCGAGAGTTATGGTACGATAGGTGATAGTAAGCTGGAAAAAACCCTTAATTGGAGCAGTGTTCTGGAGCTTTCGCAAGCCTCAGACCCTCTGATTCCACTAAAATTTTATTTGTTTTTTTAGTATATATGATTCTTGTAAAACTTTTCAACTCTCATACTCCAGTAACGCAAAATCAATCTAAATTTATTTACTTTTAAACAATTTCACAAAATTTTCCTGGAAAAGCTCACTATTACGATTAATTTTGGTTTGTATCACTCTGCTTGCTTACTGAACCCTTCTAAGCCATATACATCACACCCAATACTGTTTTTTGACTGCGAGTACTGTTTTGCTACTTTTGTTCTTAGAGCTCTGTAGTATGACGCAGTAAAATTTTTTATTCGTTTGACTCTTGAAGGTACTCGAAAATGCAGTGCTGGAAGTGCTCCTCTTCTTTTACATTCTTGTGAAAGTAATGAAATTACTGCGAGTATTGTTTTTCTTCTGCGTTTTGCAGTAGTGTATTAATTTGAAACTTGGAAGCATACTGAGAAGACCAGCAACAATGTCCGGCATGAAAGAGACACTTTAAGTTTAAATCCTAACTCAGAATGACCTTTACAAATATGCCCCAAGCAAACGAGAAGTACTAGTGAATCCATTACTTTCACAGGAACATAAAAACCAATGGGCCCTTCCAGCGCCGCGTTTTCGAGCGCATTCACCAGTCAAACGTATAGAAAACTTCAATGCGTTATGCTACAAAGCCCTAAGAACAAAAGAAGCAAAACAGTAGTCGCAGTCAAAAAACAGTATTGAGTGTGACGTGCATGAGTTAGAAGGGTTCAGTAAGCAAGCAGAGCGATATAAACCGAAAGTAGTCATGATAGCAAATTTTTATTTTGTAAAATTGTTTGAAAGTAAATAAATTTTAACTAATTTTCCGTTACTAGAGTATTGGAGTTGAAAAGTTTTTCAAGAATCATATAAAATACGAAAACAAATTAAAATTTAGTGGAAACAGAGGGTCTGAGGCTTGCGAAAGCGCCAAAATGCTGCTAGAATTAGAGGGTTTTTTCCAGTCTACTATCAAATATCGTACCATAGCTCTCGACGCTAAAAAGATATAACCTTACAATTTTCATATGTTGTGTGAAAAACATGTCTTTAAAGAATTTCTTTTTTAAAAAATTTAAAATGTCAGTTTTTGAAAAAAACCTTTTGAATCTTTGTTTTTATCTTACTAAAGAATAAAATTTGCTAATATACTGTTTTACCATTCTTCTGAATCTGCAAAAAAACAAGTTTTCGAAAGAAGTAAAAATCAGAAAATTGTGTTGCGAATGAATAAAAATACAAGTCCCTAAAGGTGACTATGTCAAGAGTGAATCGCACTTCTTTTCGCACTTTAGAACGGTCTAACTTTGCCGCCAGCACACTTTTTAAGGTAAATTCTTTCAATTTCGAAATCCGGTATCAAGTGCTACAAGTTGGCAAAAA